GGAAAAAATAAATATGAATTACAAAAATTTTTTCCAATTTCACGCTAATACCTAAATTTTTGCTAATTAAAAAGATGACCTAAAAATGAATTTATATTCAATCGTATGGTATTAGTTATGCAAATGAGGATAAGAAGAGATAATCTATTTGAAGAAATTAAGATAGTTTTGTTATGATTAAATGCTACTCATTATCCATCCACTGTTGACCTCTTTTCCACTATTATTATTCAAGGATAGATGGAGAGAAGTGTGTGGTATGAAAAGAAGTGATCAACCACCACACCTGGTCATTTGCACTTTTACTATTTGTTCAGTTTCATTTTCACTTTCACTATTTATTCTGTTACACTTTGATCGATAAGTGATCAATGAGTATTTTCTAGTTGTTTGCCTAAAGCATACAATAATAATATTTATTGCTTTAAAAAAAAATTTTTTTTTTCTTTTGAAATTATGCATATTGTTATTTATTTATTTATTTTTTTTTGAAAACTTTAAAATTCGTCAATAAAATTTATAATTTCTGGAATTTTGCAATTTCACAAATTAATATTTCATATGAAAGAAAAAAAAAATTGTTTTTTTTTTTAAAAATCATTTTAAGAAATAAAAATTTTTAACAATAAAATGCATGTTTAATTGCGGGAAAATATCAATCATTCCCTGTTTGAACAAAAGATACAGTTTTTATGGATTATTTATTAGAAGCTATGTGATATTTATTGGAAACATTTATTGCGAACAAATTAAAGCCAATAATTAAGCTATTAGGCTATTTTAAAATTCTCAAATATAGCCTTGAAGATAGTCTCCTTAAAGCAAAATTTTATTGCTACATATGAAAATTTAGTGGTTAAATAATGGCTGATTAATTTGATTAAAAAAAGATGAAGCATATAGCTAATAAATCTATTATTAAACTAATCAATGAAGCACGAAACGAAGAAAGTACGATTATTTGCTTACTTAATTTTTATTGCACTACAGTAATCAATGAAGCATACCGTTCATTTACTAGCTGAAGTACCACAACAGCACCAAATGATCAGTGCTTGGTTCAGTTGAAACCGGATGAAGCAGGTGCAGTAGAAGAAGTGGTAGCATTAACTCAATGTATTGTTTATGGTTCTTAAACAAGACTAATTGGTTGACACGAACATTGTACCAAATGTCATCCTAACCAACAATTGTAATAATGGAACTAATTGAAATGAGAATACTTCTCTGTTCAATTCTCGATTTTTATTATGTAATGTAAAAAAAAAAAAAAGTCACAACCGGAATGCAATGTAAATGAATGGATAAATTGACATTTACCAGAATTAAATAACAGAATTTGATAATTAAAGAGAGCAATATTCTCATTTCAATTAATTCCATTACTACAGTTGTTGAATGCATGGCTGATACTTCTTCGAGATTATTGAGAGGAGAAGTATTCTCATTTCAATTAAGTAAAAGCTTTTAGTTAAATAAATTCTATTGCATTTCCTTTGTGTATATATTTATTTATATATGTATATAAATCAGCTTGGAATATTATGAAACTTTTTAGACAAGTAATAAATAAATATATATACATATTTTTAAAAATAAAAGCATTTTTAATTAAGTAAATTCTATTGCATTTCAGATTGACTTATATGAGGAAATTGATAATTAAAAATTGGATTAATCTGGTATATAACATATCCAGTTCTTTGATTTCTTCTTTGCTAAACTTTTCTTAATATTAATTAACTAACCAGTTGATTAGTATTTCCAATAAGTCTAAAAAAAAAGGATGAAAATTCCGAAAAAAAAAATTTATCTTCACATTTTTTCAGACATATTACTAATTTTCTTTCCTTTTTTTCATTTGCAACATATCCTACAAAATTTTACCAACTATCGGTATGTAATTTAAATCTAAAGCAAAATTCATATGTAATCAAAAAAATTAATACCTTAAAATTTTTAAAAATTCATTTTTGGTTGCTTTTTACAAGTGAGCAAAAAAGGTCAACTAACGAATTATATATTTTACGAGAAATATAATACTTAATTTAATATCTAATGTGTCTGTTATCGAAATTATTGTTAACTATCGAATACATTGAATGAACAATGATCTTTGGTTTATTTTTTCCTTTTTTTAAATATCATTAAAAAATTTCAATGTATAATTTTTAACGGAAACTTAAATTTGCACTGTTTTAAATTTATATATGATAATTTTAGATAGCAGATGAAAATTTAAAAAATTCTATTAATTGTTAGAAAATTTTCAAATATTCGAGATGTAAAACTATTTCATTACATCCATTTCACTTCATTTTTTCCACTTATCAAACGCTAACATTATAAGAAAAGATATATATCGGATAAAATAATTGTTGCATACCGATTAGCACTTGAGTATTATTCATGCAAAGAATGATGTCATAGTATGGTTAACCTTTCACCCTTCAGGGAATGCCAATTCGATTACTTCCTGTCGGCTCCTTTTAAATGATATTATTATTAATTACAACTCATTTATGTAACGATCTAATTCATCCTGCACTAATCCATCTATAATTTATCAATACCCGTCACAATTTCTTACAATAATTATGTGTTCATTTGATAATAATTATTACATTTTGATACTAAATATCAAATATCTAAATATCTTTTATGTAGAATAAATTAGGAGTTAAAATTTTAAATTATATGATATTGATATTCCATATCAATGTGATTTTAATTACTGTTTGAGAGAAAAAACAATTAGTCGATAATTCAAAATATCAAGGTAAATTTTTTGTGTTTACAGCACGTAACAATACACGTTATAGCAAATTTTATTACACATTTTCCAATATTTGATCATCATTGTTGAATTTCTTTTTCATGTAATTTCCACGTCAAATATAATTCCGAGCGGAAAATTATTTTAAATGCTAGATAAAATGGTTTTGTATGAAATCTAAATTAGATTCAAAATCTTCAAAAAAAAAATTAAATCTATTTATAATTGTTTCTTTTTTGAGAACACTTTGCAATTCAATTTTTTCCACATTGCAATTTTATTTTATTTCAGAAGCATCAAGAAATTGAATATGCGCAATTTGATTTACAACACTTTTTTCCACATCTTTAGCAAGTGAATATTTTTGCTTATTTTAGGCTTTTTGTTTTTTAGAGAAAAGTTTTACTAGGATGTGAGGAGAAAATTTGAATTTCGTACTAACACATTCATAATCTTTAAAATTCAATCAATTTATGATTATTTATTTAAATTTCAAGTTTCCCAAATACATTTAGCAATTTTGCAATGATGAAATATCAGGTATCTTTTAATACGAAAACTCATTTGACCCCAATAATTTAAAAGATATAAAAATAAAGGTAGGGGAGAAATAATAAGAGAAAAAATAGCAAACAAGAGAAATGAAGAAATTAATTTGAATAATTAAACTAAATGTAAAATATGTGTTTAAAATTAAACTGTGAACTAATTAATTAATTCAATCCAAATTTCAATTCTAAATTACTTCCTCAATTAAAATCTAAATTATTACATATAACTTCGATCAACAATATCATTACGGTATACATACGGAGTGCATGTATTCTATTCCATTCAGTATAATTACTTCCTTCCAACTCCGGAAAAATAATCAGTCTTTCTGGTTGCAGCCAATTGCCAGGTGCATAATTGTTAGCCTCTCAATTAGTGTTATTATGAGGGATGGAAGGAAGGCCAAGGATGGAGAGGAATCTGAGTTACTCTGTTCACCCAATCTTCATTAATGATGAACATCAATTTGGCGCAATAGACTGCTCAATCCCGCATTACAATGGGAGGAGCATTACCGTTGCGGTGCGGTTGCGGTATTCCATCCATCCTACACGGACCATCGATACATCAGGTTGCATTTATTGCTATTTCCATTGCTTCTACTGCTCCTGCCTGGCTTCTCGAGAAGGCTATCTATCTCCAACATCTTCTTCAACTGATACGGTAGTAGCTAACATATCTCTTATCAATTACATTTTTCCGCAACCAACAAATTCCGCTGAAATATTGCAACTTCTTGGGAAGCCTTTGCGTATTAACTTAGAATAAAATATTTAGATAGATATTACACGATGTTGCTTAAAGAGAGTACCACATAAGATCAAAATCTCTCTTATGGATAATGTGAAGAGTTATTCAGACGAGAAGGTCAATTGCGCAATCTCTCTAAATGTCTTGAAATATGCACAATCTTCTCGATTATTTACTTTTAGCGCAAAGTTAAATTTCAGATGTTATGCACGGCGTTATTCGTTGATGGATTTCCCTCAACGCTCGAATATATTCCGTGTTGCACAACAATACTTTCAAGTTTCATCGAATCAGTTGTGGCGGATACAGCGCGGATCGTTCCAATAGGCAATCACATTTCCGTATTCATCCCTGTGTCAGAGACGGAACGGAAAGCGGAACTGATGGATGCTACCATGCAAACATCACCCGGTTTGTTGTTTTTCTCTTGAAATTCGCAAACTCTTTCTTTATATTGCACGAAATGAATCAAATTTCAGGAGCACAACTTAGCACGTCAATGATAGCTCGTCGATTACGTGACATGGCTGACAGGTTCGAGTACCATTATATGGAGAAGGAGAAGGAAGAACAGCGCTCCATATGCACATCTGCGTCATGGTCATCACAGCCACAGGTCAGAGTTCGTTGCACAATCTCGAAGAACTGCCTCATACAGCAAAAATATGACTCAAATAAATCTCATATTAGATTTTGTGCAAACAAAGCAAATCTCATTCAATGTCACAAAGTCCAAATTACTGGCAAAAGTATAAGGTTACAATTATTACGCAAACTGTCAAAAAATGTGCCATTGATGCATCGCTTGA